GTTTGATCCCTGGCCAGGGAGATTCCCATATTGCTCAGCAGGCCTCTCCGGTCTTGTCTGCTGCTCCCCTCAGTGTGTATTTCAGTAGATCCCCCTGTTCTACTCCCCACTCTCTCTCTGAATCCTCTCACCTCCACACCTCTGGCCTGTACCCCAGTTCTTGAATGCATAAATAAATAAACCTTTAAAAATAATAATTTATAATAATAAGTTTAGCTACTCTATTTTTTTACTATTTATCTAATGAATAGGACATGTAGTGTGTTCTAATTATATGCACGACAACAATAACTTTTAATACCGAGTGCACGGATTCATAAGAGGAAATGTCCAATACACATAATTCTCACTTGGGTTGTAGAAATATAGTTTATCCTAATTTTATATATGGGCTTAGGTTTTATAGTTTTGAACATATATATTACCATTAATTTATTTGCTCTCCATATACACATGTATAGATCCTCAAATACAATTGCATTTAATGGCATGGCAAGATTGAAATAAAAAATAAACAAATGTGCAAATATATAAAGAGCTTTGTCTTTCTAATTGTGATTTTTCAATATATGACCTTGAATGATTGCATTAAAAACACCTGTGGTAGTTGTTATGGACTGAATATTTTAATGCCCCCAAAGTCACATGTTGAAACACTAACTCCCAATGTGATGGTATTTTGAGGCAGAACCTTTGGAAAGTTGTTAGAGTTGGATTAGGTCATGGGGATGGACCCTTCAGGATGGGATTAGAGACCTAAATGAAGAGGATGAACTATCCCCAGCTCTTGTGTCAAGGAAAGCCCAGATAAAAGAGATAAGGAGGAGGCAGATGCTTGTGAGCCTAGATAAGCACTTCCCCTAGAAACAAACCAGCTGACATCTTCATCTTTCCAGTCTCCAAGCTGTGAGAAATAAATCTCCTTTGTTTTGCCCCTCCAAGTTTATGGCATTTTGTTAGTGCAGCCTGAGGCGATTAATACAGTAATCGATTGGAGCTCTAAGTAGACCACATCCACTCCAAATTGCTAAATTAATGTCTCTGGAGGCTGGGTCCCAGGAATTTCCTCTTTAAGGAAATCTCAATCATAGTCAGGTTGGAAAACCACTGACCCGTTCTAAAAATTAAAGTGACTGAATAATTGATCATCCAATTTGGTTCAATGTGTAGAATGAAAGGGAGAGATTTTACAGCTCAGCAAGGACAGGTAGAATCTGAGATGCCCTGAAAACATGAGCATATAAAGTTACTTTGCTGAGACTATTTCCTGTTTAACTTAGATTTAATTAATTATTTGCTTAATGTTTTTATTGTTCAAAAGAGGGTAAAATTGTGCACTTGATATGTGTTTAGAGTGAGGAAATTTTTGATAAATCTAGTAACTTGGAGCACGGGCAAAGCTCTGCAGGGTAAGAAGAATGAAGCATCAGGACCATTTCTAATAGTGGTGTGATTGGACAAGGGGTATTTGAGTCTGCTTGACACACTGTTATATGTCTGCTTCACATAGTATATTAATAGTTTACACTTTAAATTTAGAAAGGATTTTATATATTTTAAATTTTACAACCAATTCAAATAGAGTGATACCATGTTTCATTTACTCTTGAAAAACTCTAGAGTTTTCCCTTAGTAGAAAAATTGAAATTTTCCTATGAAGATCAAGATAAAGGTGAGATGATCCCTTTACCATTTATTTAGAATTTTATCTCCAACAGTCTATACAACACAATGCTTAGGAAATAAAATCTATCCAGATTTTGAAGGAAAAAATAAAATTAACTTTGTTCATAGATGACATAATTGTCCATTTAGAAAATCTAAAGAAATCAACAACTCCTGTAATAAATACTCATTATTGCAAGGTTTAAGAACACAAAGTTAATATGTAAAACTCAGTCATTTTCCTGTACAAGAAATGAACAAACAGAATTTGATTTAAAAACACAGCACCATTTCTGTTAGTTCTTCTTCCAATTCATACTTAGGTAGAAGTCTAATGAAAAAAAAAAAAAAAAAAGAAAGCAAAACCATGAAATCTACATGAGGCAAACCACAATATTCAATGAAAGAAACACAGAAGAATTAAATAAATGGAAAGATAATACATGTTCATTAATAGGAAAACTCAGTATTGTCAAGATGTCAGTACGTCCCAAAGTTATACCCATAGATTCAATGGACTATCAGTCAAAATACCAGCAAGTTATTCTATAGATATTAATAAACCTAATATAAACAACAGACACTGGGATATAACAATATGTCAATGTAGCAAATACACCATCTGGTGGAGGGTGTTTTTATTTTTTAATCTTTTTTTTTTAAGGATTATTTATACATACAAGAGCTGGGACACTGGCCAGAGATGTGGGGGTGGGGGGTGTGAGAGGATTCACCAGAGACAGAGTGGGGAACAGAACAGGCAGATTGACTGAAATACACTGCTGAGGGGAGCAGTGGGTGAGACAGGAGAGGTCTGCTGCGCCATGTGGGATGCTCCCTGGCTGGGAATCGAACTTGTGCTGCAGAGGCTGTGGATAGCTTCATAGGTTGTGTCTTAACTCTTGTGCCACCAAGGAGGCCCTGAAGGGTGTTATAATGGGAAAGGCAATGTGTTGGAGGAGGAGAAAAGAGGTACATGGTAAATCTCTGTACTTTTGCTCAGTTTTGCTGTGGTGTTAAAATTTTACTAAAGAAGTAAATGTATTTAAGAAGAAAATAATATTGTCATTGTACATCACCTGTTTTCTTGTCCGCCTGACTTACCAGCATCTGGGAAACATGTTACAAAGGGATTACTGTATATGTGAATAATGTTGCTATGGCAATTTGACTGCATCTTTCCCCAGTTACCCTGTGCTCTCCGGGAGGCTGTAGGCAAGCATGTGCAAATGAAGCCTTCCAGAATCATTTCTGAGAAGTGTGTGTCAGTTCTAGAACTACTTTTTCTTATCCATTGGCAATTTGGCTTACAGGTTTCTTCCCTTTTTGTGTCAGAGACAAATGCATTGTAAAAGAAGAGACATACTGGGGATACAGTGAGATTATTAAATCTATTATAAAACAGCAGATTGTTCTGATTTATCTGCTCTTAATAAAAAACATTCAAATTTCATGAATTTCTCACCTTAAGACTGATTTTTGTTTTATGTATTCACATACCACAAAATATCACTTTAATGATTTCATTGTAAAACATTATTCTGGACAATAATCTCATGTTTCTATACACCAGAAGCAAGTCTTAATTATAATGTATTCTTTCTAGAATGGCATCTTTATTTTTCTCCAAATATTTGAAAGTATACATTTCTTTCATAAAATATTTTCATAAATTTTTGGCTTGTTCATTTCTGCATCAATTCAATTCCTTTGTATATAATTATCATATGTAATAAAACATTGTTCTATTTCATAAGAATGCTTGAGGCTTTTTCATATGCATGAATTAGATGAATCATTTATCATCATATTATTATAATTTCCTTTGATAAAGATAATTTTCATTTCTGTTTAGCTTTAGGAAAGTTTTCCTGAACACCCTCAATTAAATATTCACAAATTTTGAAAGTTGTGGGATCTTTATTCCTGGTGCCTGAGGCTCTCCTTTCAAAGCCATTTCATAGCCAATCAACTCAGTAAAAAATAAATAAGAGAAAAATGGTGGTTCCATGTTCAATATTTTAAACAACTGATGAATTCTTCCTTTCTACTTTTAAAGATGCTTTAAACTTGAATACACAACCCCTTTTTCTCTCATTTTATCATGATGTTGTCTGTAAAAGTGCTTATTAAACTCTGTAGTTAACAATTGCTATAATTGTCACTGTTCTATGAACTACACTGCTAACTAATGAGGTGTGTATCATCTTCATTGGCGTCCATATCAAAATTGATGTGATACAATTATTTTTAATAAAAGTGAAATGTGGTGTTTATGTATTGACCAATGTTTGGAGTAACAAATGTTTGCAGCAGCAATGTTTAGAGTAGCAAAAAATATATATTTACATTACATATTTACATGCATATATTATATGAATAATTAGATAATAAATACAGTATATAAATAATATTTGCATGTAAATTATACATACATTTATGTACTTGTTTATAATATGGTTCATCAATAGGAGGACAATTATGACATAATTAAGTCCTTGTGTAAACTTGAACCTTTGGAAAATGTATTTCAGTTTTGAAATTTAAAGCTCCATTGACAAAGCTGTATAATTTGTGAGTGTGCATTAGTGTATATGTAAGCATATAATATTTGCTATCCTTTTATTGAATTATCTAAAATACCACTTAATGTCTCCTTTGGCTCTGTAATATAAAAATATCTGACTTTACCATGTGAGTTTTGATGTCAGTCTTACCACTTTATTTTGCTTATATGTTTATATTTAATTCTTACTGTAATTGTTACTTCCTGATAAAAATAGTATACTTCTCAATATTGATAAATATTAAATGCCCCATGTCTGTATTCTTTGTTCAAATGCCCACACTCCTCAATTTTCTATCATCAAGCTTTGACAATCCTGTTAGGAAACTATGCAAATGGTCATCTCAACTGACATTTAGAGCTTAAGTTAGGATTGAAGGGCATGCTCTAGGGGTGGTCCACACCCAAGCAATACAAAGAGATGGACATCTTAATTTGCTTCTAATAGAAAGGTTTGGGAATTGTGGTTGTAAATAAATGTTTCAATGAGACAGTTTCAGTAGCACAGTTAGGGTAGTGCCTATCTCATCAGCCTGGAGTACTGTGGGTGTTTCAGTAGTGAGGGAGCTATGCTGACTACAGCTGAGGGGGGGAAATCCTAACTGACAGACCAATACTAAGGATATAAAACAATGATACTGCAATGAAAATAAAAATAATTTTAAAGAGTAATTGATTTGAAAATCCATCTCATAAAAAAGAGATCTAGATAACTTCTCATTTAATGTATAATGCATTTTTTTTTGTTTTGTTTTTAAATGTGTTACAGGAGTTATTAGAACTGCCTTGCATAACATGGACAGAGAGGCCAGAGAACACTACTCGGTGGTTATTCAAGCCAAAGACATGGCTGGGCAAGTTGGAGGGCTTTCGGGGTCCACAACAGTTAACATCACCCTGACCGATGTCAACGACAACCCCCCACGCTTTCCCCAGAGTATGTACTGGTTTCTTATGATTTGCATCCTCACTACTCACACATGTAAAACAAATTCTTGAATGAATAATGTCATGTTACTGTTACCATCAATAGGAATACTTTGCTATTCTGCTGTGTGGGCGCCTTTCTGTATAAAACTAGAGAAATCACTCCACTTCCTATCTCCAGAATCTGGTAGGTAATCATCATTGTATTAAAGGTAAACATTCCAGTTGACATCAAAGTTAAATATTAAAAATAGATGAAGTGGGACTGAGTAATGATTTCCTGCATTCACTAAGTTGGTATGTAGTACTAAGGAGATATTTGTGTAGGTATCTACAAATGTATGTAGATACATTTGATATGGGCATTTTCTGTATGGGGGTTGATTTCATGTCTACTTCTTATGATTGATTTTTAAAAAAATCCTTCATGCTATCAATGAATTCTCTCTCTCCGCATTCTCTTCCCTGCCTCCACAAAAAAGGGATACAGGTAACAGAAACAAACTAGCAGGCAATTTAAGGGGAGATATATAAGTTTTGAGGGTTTGGAAGAAAACAGTGAATATGACATCCCAAAAGCAGAGGAAAAAATAGAATATTTTGGGCATAGATTAGATGACAGTTTATAGAATAATTGTTAATTATATAAAATCCTGCTGGGGAGCTATCCCTGCTGTCCATCTTACACAAAATATTTAAACACTGTAATAAAGTAGATAATGTGGTATGTCAAGAGTGGTTCAGTCAGTGTGAAATGCCTTCCCCAACCTTCTCTGTTAATACAGTTCTCAGGACACTCCAGGCCTACCCCCAGGAGAATGCTGCCTACTCCGAAAACATAACACATCTTTGTACATCTTTAAATCAACTGAGAATTCTCTGTTTAACAGTTGTGTTTAGATAGCAGGGAGTTAATTAATCCTTTTCATGTACTTGTGTGCTATATTAACTCCCAAGAGTACAGATCTTTTCTTCTTCTAGAAGTACCTCCAAATAAGAACACCTAAATTGTCTTTATCAACCTAAGTGTTCAGATCAGTGCTAGACCTTGATAAATGACTACAAATGAGTGAGTGAATGAGTTGAATTTCAATGTTCTTTGTTAAAAGGCCATTCTTAGAAGACATGCAGGTCAAGTTTATAGTTAGGTTAAAAAAAGAATTAAAAATACCGGTCCTAGAGATAAAATTATGTGACCTGGTTCGTCCATGTTGCCATTACTGTACAAGAAAACTATGTCTGAAAAAATTAGAAGTCACTGATATGTCTACATTGTATTAAACCATAAAATATGAGTTGCTTTTAAGCCATCTTACAAACTGCACAGTGTGTTTTTATTTGATCACTTAATCTGCAAAACATGTATGACACATGTATCACTAGGAATCAAGTGCTATTATTTTATCAGATGTGAAACCGAAATTCAAAGTCTTTATTTTAAAAATAGACAGCTCTGTCCCTTTGAGTCTATGCAAATAACACTCCTTTTTTTCTTTCCTCAATAAACTTGCTGTGTGCTGATGAAGAAAAAAAAAATAGTGACGCTAAGCCCAACTAAACATAAGCTTGACTGTAATTTACAGCACTAATTTGTCTACCTAATTTTCACTAGCTTCTACCACCACTCTTTTTAGAGATATATCGATATTATATCTCTTAATAGAGTGAAAACACAAGTTATACACATTAGAGGCTTGGTAAATGCTTGATTATCATACAGATGCATCTCCTACTCTCTCTCTCTCTCACCTTTTTTCCATAAACTAATTTTTACACTTACAATGTAAAATTGATTTTAGAAATCAAAAGGAGAGCCTAGTGGCATGTGTTGGAGGACTGTGGGCACTTAGGTGTTGGGAGAAATCCTATATTGTGAAAAAAACAAGGATGTTTAAAAAGAAAAAAAAACAAACTCAAAATAAAATTATTATAAACAATAAAAAAGAAATTAAAAGAAAATTATAATTTTGATGAATATATAAAATGTATTCATAATTTCCATTATTTTGATTATTACAGTGTTATTGTTGAAGCCTCAGTTCATAATAAAACAATTATTTTACCTGACAAACAAACAGAATAGATGCATACTCTGAGTGAACTCATTAGTTCTAATGGGATCTGCTTTTTTTCTGTCTGTAACAGTCTGTGCAGAATAACTGACAGATGTCAATCTTTCAATGCTTCGAATTGCACTCAGTGTTTTGAAAAGAGACAGAAACACACAGAACCTCAACTCTGACTTGCTTAAGAGCTATTTTTTTTAACACAGGTTGCACCAAACACAGAGCTGCTTTCAGAATGATTGGGTGTCACCTTGGCAAAAGTAACTTGCAGTATTCTTTACCCATACACACTATATCTCATTGAATGGATACATATTTATCCATTTATATATATTAAGTACACACACTCATATCCATTTAATGTATGTATCTATATAGAGATATATAAGATACACACACACACTTAAATTTAGTGGCCTAGGATAAAAGCCAAATAGAATTTTTTAAGCTTCCTGTAAAAATATATATATGTAATATAAAAATACAGGTATATATATTATGAGGACTTGCATTTGTGAAATGTATAAATCTATGTACAAATGAAATGTAAAAATATCATGGCCAGCCATTGAGTGAATCGGTAGTCTGTTTCTCAAAAGATGTGTTTTTTTTACAGTCCCTTTCTGAGCCTCTTCTCTCTTCTCCTACCTGAGAGAGCTGTCTTACTTACACCTTTGCTGTGATGGACTCTATATAAATATCCTGCATGCAATGTGTTCCAGAAATATTCTCTCAAAGCATATTTTTTTTTCTTTATCTTTCTTCCATGAATCTGCTATGGCCTGCAAAAGAGAGTCTGCTCATTACATCTTGTATTTTAATCTAAAACAATCACAGCATCTCTACTTTAAAGTAAATAAGTTTTTAGTAAGTGTATGAGACCCAGATAGTGAATTAGACAAATAATTTGCTTTCCAAAGTCTTCAGGGAGTTAAGAACTCAGTGGCGTAGAATGAATGCAAGACAGATAAGGACCCCACTGATGCAGACTGACTGTTAGCATCAGAGAGATGGCTATGGAAGACGGATATCTCTAGTCTTAGCACAGGGACAGACACTGCTAAATGCCAGCTAGTGATGGCTGGTGGGGAGCAAAGGGTTAGGGGATGGACCTACTTGTAAGTTGCGCAGTGACAGAGAACAAATCCACTCACCTATGGCTTGAAACTTGACCCAAAGGATACCAGAGATGCCCCCCTCTTTCAGAGAAAAAAAATCTCAGTTTGAACAATATTCATCCTTTTATTGAAAGGAATTTATTCTACTTCATAAGATTCTTACTAGTCTCATCTCTGAGTTCAACTATGTCGTAGTTATTTTATAGTTATTCTTGCTTCTAACTCTTTTATAGTAATTCTCTGTTTTTCATGATGTTATAGTTATTTTACAGTTATTGCTTAATTTATTCTTTGGTAGGTAAAATGTCACTGACTTCTAGTATTCTATATAAAGAATATGCATCTAAAATTCAGTAATTTGCATGAAGGTTCATAAAGCAAGGCCTTATGTATGTTAATGTTTGCTCCAGATATTAGCTTATTTATTCTACCTTAAATTTTAATGTTATTACTTGAAAAATGGAATAGCTTTAAAGCTGTTTAACACCACTGCTAGTTTATAGCTGGTTGTATTCATAGTTCTACAGTGTTCCTTTCTGCTTATTTTTCTTCTCCTTTGAGGTTTGATTTTTTTTTTTTAGTAGTGTATTTAGGTTCCTTTACTATCTTCTTTTGTGTTTTTACTAAAGGTTCTTGCTTTGTGGGTAACATGAATTTGGAAAAAAAAAATCTATGTATATATTGATATTTGAACACATTCCTAAACCATGAGTTTTTACCTCTCTGTCCCCACAATTAACATTTTTGATATCAAATCTTATTTTATATTTACATTTCCTGTGACTTATTATAGTAAATTAGTTATTTTTTCTACTCTGTTCTTAGTTTTTTACTTTTATTATTGCATAGAAGAACTGGGGTGCAGGCCAGAGGCATGGGGGGCTGAGAGGATTCACCAGAGACAGAGTGGGGAGCAGAACAGGTGGATCCACTGAAATACACTGCTTAGGGGAGCATCAGGTGAGACAGGAGAGGTCTGCCGCACCATGTGGGTCAGCTCCCTGGCAGGGGATTGAACTCAGGCCATAGAGATGAAAGTGCTGAGACTTAATGCCTAGGCCACTGGGGAGGCCCACTGCTCTGCTATTTTTATGTTCACTTTGCTTTACAAGTGGTTGGTCCACGAGTTTTACTATATATTTTAAAGTGATATTTTCCCCTCCTTTTTGTATTTTCTTACTTTTATTTCATGCCCTTTCTTTTCAGTTGGGATAAATCCTTAGCTTTCTTGCAATGAGTGTTCAGTGGTGATGAATTCCCTCAACTTAAGTCTGTCTGGAAAAGTCTTGATCTGTCTTTCCCCTCCACTTTGCTCTACTCATCTACCTCCGGTCCTCAGTGCAGGGAGCTCATGCCTGCTTTGGTGGAGTGGAAGATTGGGTGTCTGGGCTTAGGCACAGACTTAACCATTCTTGCCCAGGAAAAAGCTGAAAAGCTCTCACCTTGGAGATGTTTTCTCTTTTGCATCTCTGTGCCCTCGTTTTGGGGTTCTTCCTCAGTGAGATAGTCTCTGTCACTCTTATTCAGCCGTCTAGGGCTCCGTTTTACTTTCCTTATTTTTTCAATAATAATTCCACTGGGAGTAGAATTACAATTTGAAGGATTTTTGCCTGTTTCAATAATGAAAGATGGCATTTAATTGTCTGCTAATTTCTAATTTATTTGTTTAAAAAACAGCTTTTAGTCTTATTGTGTTACAATAGATTAGGTGACTCCATTAAAAGATGTTTACTATCATAAGATGCAATTTTTGTTTGGTTTACATTAGTTCAATGATGATGGACCTAAATGACATTTATTTTTTTTAATTTCCCATTCAGTAATAA